CGGCTACCAGCCCGGGTCATTACTTTGCATCGTTGTGCCCCCGAACTGCGTGAGTCGGATACGATGTGCACGCGCTGGCTATCGGCTGGAGGTGGCTCAGCCTCGTGGACGCACACCAGTGGTCTTTCTCTACTGGATGGCGTTCTGACGCGGCTCAGCCACACCTTAGCTCCAGTGAGCCTTGATGAGTCAGGCCTCTTTCGCCGCACCACCGTTCACCCGGGGTGCCGCAGTGAGTCTGAGTTAGTCGCTCGCGCTCGCACTCTCCCCCCTCTCTTTTTCCGAGGTCTAGGCCTGTCACTGGGTGCTCGCACGTGGGTTTCGCTTGGTCATTGGCCATTCGGATCCGCGCATGCGGCTTTACAGTGCCCCGCCGCCCCTTTTGGCCCCGCTTCCGAAAGTGGTTCGGCCAGAGCTTGGCGCCGCAAGGGCGACTTCTCCCCCGCTGCCGGTCGCCGCGCCTTTGCTTCCCCACCTGCCGGGATGTGTGGGCCGGTCATTGCCGATGCCGTCCTGCGTCTTAATGAGGGGCATTTTGTCCTTGGCATGTGCGTGCGCCATTGCGGCCAATTTACATCGTGCCGCACCCCGGACGTTGTGCCCGCTCCCTGTCCGTCGCCTTGGAGCCGCGAACTAAAAAAGTACGGGCCACGGCGAACTCGGCCCGGAGGCGCTCGTCAGCGTCGCGAGCCGCTCGGTTGCACCCCTAGTGCTACGAGTGGCAAGTTGGTGCCTCTGTGCGGTCGTCTCATCGCGAGGTTCGGCCTGGACCTCGAGCTGAAGTCCGCAGCAGTGGCTGCCGCCAGGACCGCCGCCGAGCTGCTCTCGAGCAACGCGCTGCCCACCGACCAGAGTCTTTCGAGGACATGCGCGGCAGAGTCCGAGCACGAAGAACTCCAGCTGAACGTAAACGATGTCCTACGCGCCACAGTGCAAGCTACAAACGGCCACGGGAAAGGCGCATGCCATATCAGAAGTTGCACCATGTGCAATGTTAACATGTTCTCGCTTTCTCGCCAGGGCCAGCAAAATCAGCGTTAAGTTCGAGTTTGATTATGTCGGCGGTCTGTACTACAACGACGTCTCTTCCTGATTTATTTCGGCAAAGGCGGCCCGACGTGCGCCGTAGAGTGGATAGATCCTGGGGGTCCTGAAGCAGATGAAGGAATCCACGGTGAAGGACCTCCTAGATTTCACCCCCACGGCAGAAGGCCATCAAGAACTACGAGGGCATCGGTGCCGCCAAGACGGCCTAGAGCGAGGCTGCTCGCGGAAACCCGTGAGATCGCGAACGGCGCCATGATGAAGCGCCCCAGCATGAATCTACTTGGCAAGAACGCCACGACGATCGGCTACGACACCGAGGTCGCGAGCGACAGGCATAACACATACGTGGCCCGCGCGCCCATGCGAAGATCCCAATGGCAGAATTCTGCACCGTGCTCTACGCACGCGCGCGGGCTTTGCACTTCTACGGCACCAGCCTCCAGGAGCCACGCGAGGCGGGGTGCCAGGTGATTCAGCCCCCCGCGCGAGCCTGCCTGACCTGGCGGCTTTGCGGCTTGGCGAGTCCAGCGAAGCTTTTCCACTCGACGCAATCTTGGCGTAACACGCGCAAGCTACTAGTCACTTGTCGTCCCCAGCTTTGGGCTCCGACTCCCCGCCTAATTTCATTGCCGCTACATGCTGAAGCATGCGGCCACTAAAGTCCAGTCACCTGGACCGCGTTCGACGCGATCGTCGTCGAGACGCCGTGGGCTACCACCAGTGGCTGGCCAGCCCCAGTCAACTGCGAGGACTTCCTCGTCTTGTAGTGTACTGGTGCAACGTGGATAGCATAATGATCGCCATCGTCGTGTGGCAGCTGGTGCCGTTCACAGTTGACGAGCACCTGACTGACCGCCTTGCTTCGGCGGTCTCAACTCGCACAAGCACTCAACCAGCGCGACGTGCAGGTGCTCGGCTTTGGCACTTCAGTACCACCTGCAACGCGAGATGCTGGCCCGACAGCGCGCCACCACAGAGGTCACTGCTGCGCTATCGCCCCTACAAACCAGCCAGCAGCGATTGCCATGCGTCGCGGCGGCGCGGCGTGTTGGCTACGCTGCGCTGCCGACAGACGATGTGCGATGCCGGATGCGGTGTTGGCCGCCGACGCCCATGTTCTTCAAAGACAAGCGGTACTGGGGCAGCTACGAACAGCCGCGGTAGGCACCTGTGGCAATGTGCTGCCGTTGGCTGCGTCCAGTCAGAACGCGCCGAAACGTCGTAGCTCGGCAGTCTCCAGACCAATACGGTGACCAGTCCACAGCCGTGACCGGCAAGCGCCAGCACCTACAGAGACACGTTGCCGCAAACAGCTGCCTGAACCGCGTCTGCGCGCCCACTAAGCAAGGCGCGCGAACGCTCTCCAGCTGCGCAGCAACGCGCGCCGCAACGTTTAGCTACGCCCGCCGTCACCTGCACGCCACAGAGTGCCGAGGGCGGACGGCTACGCTGGCTGTGTGCAGTACGCAGAGCCAGGAAGCGAACTTGACTGGAGAGCGCGATCGGCGCAGCGGATTGCGGGCACGCCGGGCACGATCTGTGCAGGGCCCCCGCGAGCAGCGCCTTGATCTTGGGTGTCAAGAAGGCCGTGGGACACCAGGCTAGCGGAAGAAGCCTCTCTTGAGCTCTCTTTGCCGTGGGGTGCCGCCACGATGCGCAACCTGGGTCATGGATGGCGCATTACACGCATGCGTCTACCGCTGACGAGCCAGCAGAGCCTTCCAGCAATACGCCACTGTTCAGGTCAAGGCTGCTGAGCCATGGGAGAGGTGCACGAGGCAGTATGCTGCATCACGCGGCTGCGGCGCGACGCAGCGACTGCTTCAATACCTCACTTAGGTTGTTCTTCCGTGACCACAGCGTTACGGAGGGAATTTCTTCATTGCCCCGTAGCCCCGACTCGAAAAGGACCCCGCGCGCCTGTCGCCGCCGCTGCTGCGGCTCAGGTGCGCACGCGGGCACTCGATAGTTGATGAGGTTGTGGAAAAGATCCATCACCGCCATGTCTCTCACCCTTACGAACCGTGCAATTCCAAGTCCTCCTCGTCTTCGAAACGATGACGACGACGGCGGCTGCGGGCGCGGCCGGCAGCGCTTCCTTGGCTCCGACGCGGCCGCGGCGCTTTCTGCGGCGCGTCCGCGCTCCCTTGGGCGGCTTGCGGGCCCGCGCGGCCCGCCGCCGCGGAGGCCCGCCCGGCGACGGACAGCAGACGGCGGCGGGCTCAATAATGCGACGACGGCGATCAAGACGGCGAATCTCGACGAGGACGACGACGACGTCAGTGAGGAGGCTGATAGTTCAGGGGGGTTGGATGATGTGGTTTGGGCCATGGTGTTTTTCGGGTGTCGTGCCTTCCTTTCCTATTTCAATACGTTCCTTGGCTTCCCTTGGGCCGCGCATGTGCCTCGGGCCACAATATGCGAACTCCTCTTTTGGGCCCATCCCCTTCTTGGGCGCGCCCGAACGACGACGGCGGCGTCGGCGACAGCATTGACGACCTCGACAACAACGACGGCAAAGGAAGGCAACCGACGACAGACGATGACGACAGTCTCAGAAGAGGGAAGTGTATCAATACCGCTGCTCGTCCTGGAGAGCCGTCGTCGTCACGGTGGTTGGATTATCCTCGAAATTCTGGTCGGAATCGATTGTGATATCGATAGCGAGATCGATACTGCGATCGATAGTGATATTGACAGTGGATTCGATGGAGTGAAATCGGTGGTGATATCGAACATGAGGTTGGTTGAGTGAGATTCATCGTGATACCGCGACTGATATCGATAGTGGGATCGATTGGGAGATCGATATTGCAACGCGATCGATTGATGAAGGTGGATAGTGCGATCCATCATGAGTTCGAAACTGAGTTCCATCGTGGCATCGATAAAGAAATAAAAAGGGGAATCGACCAGGACCCCGGGAGCCCAGGAACCCCCCCGCCCCGAACTCGACCCCGAACCAGCAACCGGGAACCCAGAACCGAGAACCCGGGAACCCAGCCGGCCACCGAAATCGGACCCCGTCAGAGCAACCACCGATTGGGGAATAAGGCCCGATGGCCCTTCGCCGGAGTGGCCTTTTGGGTGCGCGACTTTCGGGGAGCGCGGGGCCAAACCCTAGCCAGCAGGCCGCTTCTGCCGCACCGCTCGCAACGATCGCCGGGCCGCGGCAGGCATTGCTTGGGGCCACGCAAGTGGCCGAGGCATCGACGGGGCAAAAGGGTCGTCGCCTCCGCCTCGGGAGGGCCATCTGGGTGTCGCCTGCAGGCCCTGGGGCCGCCTCGGCCGTTGCTTCGGCCCGGCGTCGACGACGGCTGCGTTGACGCCAGCGTTGACGCCGGCAGCGGCGACGACGACGTCGACAGCGGCGACGACAGGGCACAGACGACGTCGACAGCGGCGACAACGACCGGCGACGACAGACGGCGACGGCGGCGGCCCGCACCGCGCGACGCGCGCGGAGCGATGCCCCTCAGGGCTGCCACGTCGAGGCGTCGTCGTCGGAGGCCGCAGATCGTTGTCGTCGTCGTTGTCGTCGCCGCTCGTCGCCCTGGTCGCCAATCGTCGCCCCGATCGTCATCTTCGTCGTAACCCTTGTCCTCGTCGTCGCCCTCGTCGTCGTCGCCGCCCCCGTCGTCGTGGCCCAGGGCCCGGGGCGCAAGGCCTCTCCGCCCGCGCGCGCCGCGCGCCAGTGGGCGCCAGAGCCGCCCGCCATGCTGCCGAGCCTCGGGCCCCGCGGAGCCGCGGCGGCCACCGCCGGCACCAGGGCGGCCCGGGCGGACTGGCGCCGCCCCGCCCGCGGCTGTGCGGCCGCGCCCGTCGCCCCTGGCGGGAGCAGCCCGGCGGCGGCCGGCGGCAGCGGCGCGGAGGCGGTCGGCGGCGGTGAGCCTTCGCGAGCCCGCTGCGGAGGAGCGGCCGTTGCCCAAGGCCGAGCCCAAGGCGCCCGCCCGATGCCCGAGGTCGAGCCCAAGGAGGAGGGGCTGTCCCCAGCCGATGCCGAGCCCAGGGCACCCGCTGCGGAGGAGCGGCTGGACCTGCGCGTTTGTGCTTTTGGTTTTGATCGTGTTGCCTGCTCATCGCCTGCTGTTAGGGCGTGGTTGTCGTCGGGCTTTCCTGCCTCGGGGTGCGTTCCAGCAGCTGCGCCTCGCCGGGAGCGCTCCCCCCGGTCGCCCAGAACGGCCGCCAGGAGACCCGAGTTGTGAGCCGCACGTTTTTCAGCCGAGTGGCCCTTCGCCGGAGTGACCTCTGGCGCGGGCCCACTGGGGTACCCAGGTCGCCGAGAGCGGTGCGGCAGCAGCGGCGTGCGCCCGTGCGGTTGCACCCCCTCGTCCGCCGCACGCTTCCGTCCGCGCACCGGAGGTCACTCCTGCCCAGGGTCGCTCCAGCGTGCAGCCTGAGAGGAGCGCGAGCCGCCCCGCGTGCCGCGGGTGTCGCCGGAGCCGAAGGCCATGGTGTTCCCTGTTCGGAGGGCCAGCGAGATGCGGCCGCTGATGGCCATCGGCGATCCCGACGAGCCCTTCGCGCGCCGCTGGGCCCGCCGAGCGCTGCTGGGGGCCGTGGCGGGCGCCACGGCGGCGCTGGCGTGGGACGTGCACGAGAAGGAGTGGTCCTGCTACCACACGTGGTCGACGGCCCTGACGCAGTACGCCCTCTTCAAGGCCACGGGCCTGGTCGGGAGGTGGTGAGGGGCGCCGGCACGGGGAGATTGGTTCCGGGGGGGAGGCATCGACCCCCAGCCGCCCGGTCCAGGGCCTGGGTGTCCAACCTGCTCAGGACATTGTGGTCTCCCCCTTTGGGGGCCTGCCGCCGATCTATCGGCGGTGCATCGTCGACTCCAGCCCAGTGCTCTCCTGCCCTCCCTGCGGCCCTGCTGCTCCCCTCAGGTGGCGGCTCTGGCAGCTGCTGAGGGACGCCGAGGGTGGCGAGGAGGTGCAGCGGGCCCTGCTGGCCGAGGTGCTGCGGGCGCACCAGGGCACCAGCTACGGCCGCGACCGCGGCCTCGTCGGCGTCTCCACCCTGGAGGGGTTCCGCCGCGCGCACCCCGTCACCAGGTCGGCGGGCGCCCGCCGTGCTCGCGCACCGAGCGCTGGCCAGGCGCGGCCTGCGCCAGGGTCGGCGAGCAGTCAAGATGCCAGAAGGACGGAGGAAGCGCGGACACGGGTGAGCTGCAGCGGAGGCCCATGGCGAGAAACCCCTTGCTCGCCTCCAGGGTGCCCGGGGATTCCTGGGTTTCCATGGCTCTGCTATGGAAAGCGTGACGTTCTCGCACACCAAGAACCAATTGGCGTCCTGGGGTCTCAGGGTTGAGTTTCTTGTGGAAGGTTTCTTGTGGACTGGCCTCCACTGTCAGGCGCGTGGCTGAGCGATGGGCCCCGCTTCCGAGCAGAACTGGCGCGCTCGGTCGCCAAAGCGGGC